AGGGGACTGTAGTAGTGGGAATTGCACAGCAAAGCGACTTTGCCTGTTTCTATCTACTCTCAACCATTCAGAGAACTAGGAAAGCTACATCAAATCAGACGCCACTGTGCATTCTGTTATTAGAAGATGCAGTGTTCCTGCATGGCCACTGCTGGAGAAAATTTGGAGACCTTGGGAGGCTAAACCTTTTAACCCAGTTTTTGCATGTGTACACACACACACCCCATTCCCTAAATGAAAGAATCACAGGCTTTCTTTCTTTCTTTCTTTTAATGAATAGAAGTTACTTTCTCACTGAAAAAAAAGGGAAAGAGGACAATCATAGAGTTTGGGAGAGGAGGCCTGACACGAGATGTGCTTGGGTTGTTGCTGACGGCTCCAACTCAGGACTAGAGGATACCAGCCCTGGCTGTGTACTCACTAGGTTTCAGGTCCACTTGAGAGAGGCAGATGAAGAAGAGTAAGTTCAGCGGAGAAGCAGAGGCTGACGGCTATGGGCAGAGACTGATGAGGAGGAAATGGACAAAATGGAGATTTTTCTGGGAAGATTCCTTTTACAGACACCTACCTCATCCTTATTCCCCATTTTCTAACTGAGACTTGGTGCCAACAACATTCAGCATGTAAATGGTATTTCTAGAAAATGCCCCTCAGAGATGGATTTCCCCTCTGAGGTGCTCCCAGAATGTTATAGATGGGAGGCCTTGCAGAGTCACTCATGGGCAGGGAACATCGCCCACTGGTTCAGATTATTTAAAAGGTCAGTCCCACAGCATACTGTCCCTTCTTCCTGGGGTAGATAGTCCTGTAGCTTTCCTCTGGGTGTCACTGTCCTTATTCGTCTTGTACCTCTCTCTCTTCTCTCGCCACATGGATTTCTCTCAATACAAATGGGTATTCTATTGCTCTCTTTGTTTGTTTTTCTGTTTCTTGGACAATTGCAGCCCAGATGATGTTTCTTCCAGTTGCTAGATTCCTGTTACTGCTCCCCCTCCCCAAGGATGGCAGGCTCTCCCCTCCCTGTGGCTTGCTCCAACCGTCCCCATTCCCTACCAGATCCTCATCCCCTCATCCTTTCAAGGCTGTTGGCTCACTCCAGCCAGGCTCAGCCTCTGCACCCTCCTCCTCTGCTTGGCATTAACTCTGACCCCTGCTTCCTGCCCCTTTGCACCCCAGCTCATTGAGTCCTGTAACTAGAACTGTAACTATGCCTCATCCATCTAGGACTCCTAATAACCACCTTACACTACAGTGTGACCCTCATCCCCTCATCCTTTCAAGGCTGTTGGCTCACTCCAGCCAGGCTCAGCCTCTGCACCCTCCTCCTCTGCTTGGCATTAACTCTGACCCCTGCTTCCTGCCCCTTTGCACCCCAGCTCATTGAGTCCTGTAACTAGAACTGTAACTATGCCTCATCCATCTAGGACTCCTAATAACCACCTTACACTACACTACACCTCTCCCCACTGGGTCAGCTGCTCCTATGCTGGAGAGAGAGGACCCAGCTACGTAGGTAAATACTTGTTTCTGCAGTGGCGAGGAAGTGTACAAGTGGGAGGGAAAAGAAGGATGAGCTTCTTGAGCCCTAGGTTCCTTGGACAAATGTCTATCCAGAGGAAAGAAGAGTCTATTACCCCATAAGAAGCTATTATTTTATTTGCTCGTTTTGTGTTTTTTTCCCATTTCACCTTCCTCTTGCCGGAGGCAGAGATTGACAGAAAGGTAGAGTGATATTTGGCACTGATACCTGAGTGCCTGGTGACCTTGGACCTGAAGAAGAATGAAAGACAAGTTCATGCCCAACGAGTGAGGCAAGGGTTTTCTCGTTTTTTGTTATTGTTCATTAACAGAATAGATAAAGGAATTGTTGCCCTTCTAATCCTCTGATGAAATGGCTTTTTTCTCTTGGGGAATTACTGAAGCGTGGTGTAACACTCATCCTGAGATGGAGAGAACTTACTACTACCTTGAATGAGGCCTTCCCTCCATACTTTGATAATATTCACTATTTCAGCCCAGGTTCTTCCCTGCCTCCAAGCCTTTTTCACCATAGCTTAGTGGAATGAATGGTATATTCTTAGTTATTTAATATTTGGAGTTTCTAGATAAATTTTGGGAAGAAATAGGCTGTAGCTGCTTTTGTGGGAAAGAAAGAACCATTGCAAAGAATCTAGGTTTCCACACTTCCCGCACCTTACCCGAAGGATCAGAATCCAGGTAGGTTCTAACAAGAATGAGAGATGTCTCCCAACTCCAAGGTCACCTTTCTGATTTGCTAGGGCCTACCTGGAACATTATGCTAAAAATGCATGGAGGTGGTTATGGAGATGGATTGATAATATCTGAATGATGTGTTGGAGAATGGAAAGGAGTGAAGAGTCGGCCATTCGTTCGCCATCCCTGGTCTGTGAAGTGGAGTTAAGTAGGGTGTCTTTTAACATGTCCTTCAGAGAATGCCTGAGAAAGAGCCAGCAGTGAAAGATGAACTCTCTTTGGGACCTGGTGACCCAGGGTGTCCCTTTATCAATCCAAGAGACTCCAGAGGCCCTCACTACCATTGACCCTGTTCCCACTTCCAAGCCTGGAGGACTTGGACAGGTCCACATTCGGAGCACAGCCAGGGTCTTTGTCAACACTACCATTTACTGGGACCTGCTACTAAATTTGGGTCCTGAAATTCCTCCCCTGCTTGGGAGCATGATGGTAGTTCAGGGAAAGCAGCTGGAGAGCTGGAGAGCTGGAGAGCTGTGGCTGTAAGGCTTATCAGGATAAGCCTGAGTCATCAGCCCTCATTCAGCACACCGACCCTATGAAGTCCTCTTGCTCTGGTATGCTGTGGATACAGAAAGGCAAGAGCACGTAGGTGTTCCAGTTCAGAATGGTCAAGGATCCCAGTGATGAACACAGGGTAGAGTGGGGATGCTCAAGGCCCTTGCTTCCCATTACTCCATGGTTTCCGGTTGGAGGGAGACACAGGTCCCTTTCTCAGGTAACAAAGGCATAGGGAGTAGTTGGCAATGAGTGCCACATAGAGGGAGAAGTGGGACCCAGGCCATCAGAGCCCCCAAAAGGGACGGTCACCGCTGGGGGCATTTTTGAAGACTTTAAGAAGGGCCTGAGACAGACCAGAGCTGGGACAGACTTACGCTGGCCCAGAGGAACATGTATTTGATCCACAATGCTGGTGCTGGTGTTGCGTGAGTTCAGGGGTTCTCTTTTCTCCTGTGTGTTTATGTTTCAGCACTTCTAAAAGCAAGGAACTTTCTCCAGGATCTGGACAGAAAGGAAGTCCAGCTTCCAGCCAGGGGCCACCCTGTATGGGGACACAACCAGGTGCACAACTGGGCACCAGCCCCAGCCAGCCACCCGCAGACCAGAGCCCTCACACCCTCCGGAAGGGTATGTCACCACCACCCTGCACATCGGCCTCAGGCCAGAGATAACTGTATGCTGCCTGAAAACTCATTTCTCTCATTTAGCATGGATATTTAGAAACTGTATGGCTTAGTGAAACATTCCTGGTCTGAGCATTAGAGGTTTTGGAAGTTAACAACTCCAAGAGGGATCGTTTCATCACTATTCCTCAGTTTATTCACTTAAACAGTGGGCTCATTAGAGACATGTATAGGGCATTGCTTCCTGTACACCAAGACCTCTGTGCACAATCACTGCTCAGGATGACGTGTCTTCCATGCTCGCTGCCAGGCTCTACCACCATCATTTAAGATGCTGTGTAGAGTGTTCTGCAGGAGGCCCTGCCCATCAACCGGGGCCTCGCACAGCTGCCTGCCCTGCTATTTGTGGAATGTAACAGAGGAGGGAATCAGAGTGTTTCTACAGGAATCCTGCCCTTCCATATTTCTGTTTTAGAAGGTCTGAGAATTTCTACACTGACCCCTGAGCTGCTCAATCCAGAATCTGCCACTGGAACTCGCTGTAAGAGGCCTGATTCTTCTCTCTGAAATGACTCTCAAAAGCTAAAGATGTGCTCTATGCTGATGTTTCATAAATGGAGAGCTTCAAGGAGTGTGTGCTTATCTGAATCTTTTTTGTTTGTTTGCACCTTATGACAGTGCTTTGCAAAGTCTTTAACTGTTCAAAATAGCTTATTGTTTAATTTGTTCCCAATTCAGGTCTTCCCAGCCTCTAGGTAGGGCTTTAGTGCCAGGATTTTTGGAACAGGGCTTGCTCACCTTATGCACACAGACCTTCACGACAGGTGCTTTCCAGCCTTCCTGGCTCCAGGCTGCTGTGGCAATCCCATTATCCAAGTGTGCTCTCACCCAGCCCTTCCATCTTGTCTGTTTCCCATTAATTCTTTGCACATCCTGCAAATAGTTAATGAGCACAGCTCTGAGGATGTAACAGAGCAGCAGGCACAGCCTCTCCAGAAAGGTCAATGTGGAACTATAACATCAGAGTATGCTGCTTGGGACACTGTCGGTCGCATGGGACACACTTGCAGACATAGGAGTTGGGCCACAGTGGTGGTGGTAGGATTTTAGCATTCCAGGGTGTTTCTCCAGCAACAGCAGATTTTCCTTGTGGTCTAGCTGTAGCTAGCTCCCTGGCCATCTTTGTATCACCCTCTGAGGCAGTATGATATCTAAGCCATCATTTTGTCCAGTGGAGTCAGGACTTCTGGTTCAGGCCAGTCTGTTTCCTAATGCCAGTAGCAGGTTGGCCTTCCATTTTTCACAGCTCATTGGGCCTATGTGGGGAATGCAGACTAGAATGACGCAGGTTCCTTTCCAAAGTGATATTCAGTAGCTCAGAGCCATCATTGAAAAGGTACAACTTTCATCTCCACCATTGCCCACTAATGGCACACTTACCTTTTTTTTTTTTTAACTCTCAGTCTTTTGACAATATGCCTACAGTTTTACATTATGGCCTTGTCCTGTCACTACCCAGAAGTGGTAAATGTTATCACAAACATCATGGTGATATTACTATGTCCTCCCTCTTCCAGTTCATTTAGGAAAAGACACATTCAAGAATGATGCCTGGGGGTCTCCATTTGCTTCTCATCCAGTGGAGTAATTCCCACATCAGCCAGTAGAGCTGAAAAGTTGTTTTATTCTGTCACAATTATATGGTACTTTATATACATGGTCCCATTTAATTATTGCAATGCTGTGGTGAAAGGTTAAATAAAGTGCCCCAGGACATACTATGGGCAGGACAAGATAGGAATTTGAGCCCACGTTGGTGGGACCCTGAAGAGCATGTCCTTTCCTTGTCCACATTGCACACTGAGAAGACATGCCAAGGAAGTGCATGAGGCATTATTAGAATTTTTTTTTTTTTAGCAGCTTAAAAACAATAAACATTTATTATCTCACAGTTTTTGAGAGTCAGAATTCCAGGAGCAGCATAGCTGGGTGGTTCTGGCTCAAGGTTTCTCATGTGGTGGGAATCAAAATGTAGGCTGGGTCTTGGGTCATCTGAAGGCTTGACCGGGGCTGGAGGATCCACTTGCAAGATGGCACACTGGCATGGCTGTTGGCTGGAAATCTCGGTTCCTTGCCATATAGATGTCTCATGACATGGCAGTGACTTACCCCATGGTGAGTGACTCAAAGAAGAGGAACTTAAGGTAGTGTCAAGGTCTCCACCAGGCCTAAGGCTCCATGGCTGTGAGGTTTTATCCATCTCTCTCTGGTCTCCTGCCCTCCCCAAAGGAGGGGTGGGGAGTGGGGGTAGGGGAAGTGTCCCTGGTGCCTCCTTGAGGACCTAAAGGACAATATCTTCCAGAATTAGTGTTACCCGTAGCCAGTACCCACTTAATTCTGGTAGATCATTGGTTGCTTTTGCAAGATGTTTGCTCATCATTGAGATCTTCTGAATGTTTGAATTTGTCATCCCTCCTGGTTCATTTTCAGTTAAAGATATAATGTATTTGTCATCCTTTAGCATGATTAAGTAAACAAAAAAGGAAAATGAAGGCAATGCAGAGGAGGTTGGGGCAATGATGTACTTAAAACAGTGCTATATATCTGTACATATTTGCACCCAGAGACTAGGATTCTTAAAAGAAAAACACCCCCGAGACAAGGACTCAGGATTGAGGGAAAAGCCAGAGCAACGGAGGCACTGGACTTCTGTGGCCACAGTACTTGGTCATATGCCCCTCTTATGGGACCCAAGGGCCATTAGACAGGTTCAGCCAAAAGTCGGAGTTTCCTATTCTGAGGACAGTCATCCTGTCCAGGGTCCACTGTCATAAGCTGAACTCTAGTTGTCCTCTGGTGGACTCTGCATCACTGACTCACTGTTCCTTAGTGTGTTCCTGATACCTTTTACCACTCTGAAGTGGTAACAGGACACTAGGAAATCAGTCACTGCCTGTGGATAGGAAATTTGTTCTGGAGTTTGGGGGTGGGGGTGTGTAGCTCATGGCAGGAATCCAGAGAAGAGGAGAAGAAATTAGTGAACAGCTTAGAAGATATTAAAAACTTGCAGTTCTGAGTGAATTTGAAAAAATTGCATTGGCTGCTCATGGTGGCAAGAGCTGGGGGTGGGGGCGGGGGTGGTGAAGGGTGTGCTAACAGGCCACATGGACAAGGGGGTCCTTTAACAACCTTGTGCATTATTGTTATTGCATTGTGTTCTCTGTTCCAGTTTCCAAGAAGCTGGCGCCAGTTCCACCCAAGGTCCCCTTCAGCCAGCCGGGCGCTGTGACTGATCTGTCTGCCGGCCAGCCGTCCCCACTCAGCCTGTCTCCTACGCCACCGAGCACCCCGTCACCCTACGGACTGAGTTACCCTCAAGGGTACTCCCTGGCCTCAGGCCAGCTTTCCCCGGCTGCTGCGGTCCCCCCTCTGGCCTCTCCTTCCAGCTTCACAAGCACTTTAACCAAATCTCGGCCCACTCCTAAGCCCCGACAGAGACCCACCCTGCCACCTCCTCAGCCTCCCACAGTGCATCTCTCAGCCTCTAGTCCGCAGTCCACGGAGCATCCTGTGCTAGATGGCATGTCCCCCGGGGAAAGCATGTCTACAGGTAATCAAGCCTTGGCTTCCTCAGATTTTCCCATGAACCTTAGCAAAATGTGCCAAGTGGAGGGACTGCTGGTGCCACTGGCAGTTAACAAATCCCTGTTTCCCGTGGGATCACTATGCATGTGTAGCTTCCTAGAGGATCTCCTTAGATGCCTCCTGTAAGCCAGTGGAAAGCAGCTCAGGCTGGATCCAAGTTGTCTTGCAGAGGGGCTTCTTAGGAGGTTCTCCCAGTCGAATGCCTGTGGGCCTAGGGCTCTGATGCTGTTCTTAATTTGGGGGTTGAGTGCCCTGAGTTCTTTTGAGTGGTGCTTCAGGAGAGGCTAGAAGCTGGATTATGATTGCAGAATAGCTGGCATCAAAGCACAAGTGAGGTGATGGAGGCTTCCTTTGGATAGAGCCCAAGCACCTAAACAGGTACAAACCCATATCTTAAGAAGAGACACTAAGAACCAAAGACATTTTTTCCTATTAATTAAATAAGCCTAATTAGAAAAATGTATTTCTAGCAATATATATTTAGAAAGGGTTCAGTTTCAGAAAAGATGTGTGTCCCTTGTTTCTTAGAGGAGCTAATTGGACAAGCCCACAACTGCTAAATTTAGTTTTGCTTTAAATTTAAAATCAAAGATGGAGATATTTCCCCCATAAAAAAATATATAAGCATGAAATCACAAAACACATACCACATTTAGCAAAGACCATTTGTTGGTTGGAAGAGGAGGACATTTTTGAAACATCTCCCCAGACATTTTGACCACATGAGATTAGAAACTCAGGGCATATTGTGGTGGCCACTACAGTCAGCATAGTATTTTCCTTGTGTAGGGAGGTAGGCCAAGTTTCGGGGTGTCTTGGAATAGAGCCAGCCTTCCATCTCGCCAGGCAGCAGAGCTTGGACATATATATCTAAGTGTTGTCCCGAGTAGCAGAGGTGAGGCAGCTTGGGATGGAATACACACACCACACAAACATCACACAAATACACACATATGCACGTACCCACAACCAAACCACACACTACACAGAAACACTATACAATACACTTACATGCACACACATATGTACATACTACCACATCCAAACACACACTACATACATACACATGCCACAAGGACACAAAGAGCAATGTCGTCTTAGATGTACTAGGATTTCTAATGGGGCTTGTGCTTTTATCCTCACGTCCTTCTCTGGGAGTCATGGTGTTTTCCCTTGATTGAATGGTAGGGATGAGCCTGTGGGGTTCAGCTCCTTGCTGCCTATGAAAAGCCTAGTCCAACTCAAGTGTTTGCAATAGGTCAAGAGATTTAAGTATTGTGGGAAGCAATATTTCAGTGATTTGGCTTCTTTATTTTTGGATGTGATTAATATTGAAGGCACACCTGCTGTCATCTACCCTGAGGCTTATGAAAAATTAAGGCAGTTCCTCCTTGAAAAATGACATTGAAGACCACTTCCCACTGGTGGTTTTTGTTGGTGACGTTGTGTGTCCCGAATGAGCCCTTATGGGAAGAGCACAGGCCTGCTACTGTCAGGGCTCATGACCATACCCCAGGAGCTTGTGGTCACCCTGAATCAGCTAGAGGGGCCACCTCCCCAACACCTCAACTTGTTAACTTCTATATCCACCCCAAGGAAAGGACACAGGGTAGTCTTGATACTGGAAGCAGTAGAATGAGCAGTGGATAAGACTGAGGAGAAATAGATAATAGAACAAGGTGAAATTTGAGAGCAAAAAGTGGGTAACAGAAAGCATTGAGGTCAGGCAGTGCCTCTACAATCACCTGAGAAATGTAATGACCTCCTTTCCATTGCACCAGTATAAGAACTGCTGACCTTTAGAATCAGTAATGTCCCCCTAGCCCCATCCCCGCTACACTGTTTTGTTTTCATGTTCTTTGGCAGCAGATTGTCGTTCTGTCCTTTATGTGCAGGCCTGTGAGCCAGAGTAGAAGCTGTAATGATTTGGTGTGGCCCACCTGACTGTGATACTTGGCATAGTTTTTTGTTACATTCTTGTTTCATCGTGTTTATTCCTTTCTCCGAATCCTATCATTGTGTTCTTGCAGCTGTGTGACATGAGTGCCGCAGTTTTGGATACGTGTGAGGGGGATGTTCAGGGTAAGCGGTCCCAGCCTCGCCTCCTGTCCACTCGCCCAAGCCAGCCAGGCCACAGCTCTCGGCTCTGCACTCTGCATGTGGCTCAGACCTGCATGGCAGCTTCCCTCCTGTTGCCTTCCCCAGCCTCAGCAGGAGCTGCCGGGTCCATGAGCTCATTTGGCTTTTTGGGATCACTGGCCTTTTTTTTTTTTTTAGTTTATTTTTCTTGTCCTTAGGAGATGGGGGAGAAAGCCAGGCAGGGTTCGAGCTCATCTGCTCCCACCTTATCTAGTCTCAGCTCCCCTTTCCTCTCCCTGTGGTTTGGAATTGAAGGGGTAACATGCCTGTTCTTCATGACGCACCTTTGTCATCACTGGAGTGCCTGCTGAAGACATCTGTGCCCAGTGTCCAAGGATGATTCTTTATGTACATATTGGTTTAGGGAAGTATCCTGATGAAGGACCCACCCAGTGCCATGGACACAGCCTCCACCAGTGACCTGGAGCCTGTTTGTAGATCTCCACTTCCGGATGGGAAGTCTAACTTGCCTTCCTCCAGGCTGAGACCGCTGGCAAATCCTGAAGAATCCATAGTGTTAGGTTCATCTTGAGCTCCTTTTTTCCTCATGTATATGGCCAGCCAGATCTTTTCTATCCAACTCAATATTTTGGGAGCGTTTATACCAGTTTCTGCCTGGTTTCCTCAAAAGAGCAGATGCTTAAAAGTAAATCCAAGGCAAGAACATGAAAGAAGCCAGAAGGAACCAGGTGTTTTTGTCCCAGTAAGAAGGGGCAGCTAGAGTAAACCAGGGGATGGCCCTCCAGTGCCCCCACGAAAGCTGCTAAGCCTGCAGTCCTGTGGAGACCAGTGACAGGCATGGCAGGAGGGCATTCGGCACCCACAGACAGGTCTCCTAACAGACACTTTTGGAGCTTCCTCCAAAACAAGAAACAAGCCATCTCCTCCAATGCCCCTTGGCAATGTCGATGGAGCTTCTTTTCCTCAGTCCTGCTCCCTGGCTACCTGAGCCACCTTCCTCCTCAGGGGTCTCTCTAAGGGAATAGCCAGGACAACAGCTGAGCAGCTCATTTCAGCTGAGGGTTCTTTACACGCTCTATTTGTGCTGTCATGTAAACACATCATCACCCTTTGTCGTTCCCATTTGACTGCTGGGACACAGAGGAGGTAAGAAACTTGTCCAAGGTTATACTCCCTCTAGTGACAGAGAATCCAAGCTGTGTCTTACCTAGCAGAATGATGCATGGCAGGGGGCAGGTGGGCCCCAGGCCAGGAGCAGCCACTAGGCCCCAAGGGATGGGCCCCAGCAGTGAGAACAGGACACAGGCAGGCCCAAAGGCCTGCAAATGTCCTCTGGGGCAGGAGGAGCAAGTGGCTGGGGCTGAGCTGAGCCTCAGACCCCCAACCACTGCTCCATTAGGTAGCAAAATGACAGGCTGGGATGACATTTTGAGGACTGTTAGGGGGGTGGGGTAAGAGAGAAGGACCTTTGTCAGAGAGCTTCCATGTTTGTATAATGTCTTTTAGGATGGTGTCCAAATGTCTGTCTGTCCACTTGGTATGCCATTCTTTGGGCTGAATGTTTGTTTTACCAAAAAAAAAAAAAAAAAAAAGCAATAAAACAAACAGAAAAAACCACCCCCAGGTCTGGCCTGAGGCTGCTCCCCTCCTAGACCTCCTAGGTGCCGCTTCCTCTGTCACACAGAGTGCTGTTATTGGCCTAGGTTGACAACGAGGCTAAGTGGAGGCAAAAACTAAGCAGGCCAAGGAATGAGGTAATGTGACAGAGTAAAGGATGCAGGGTCCATGGTTCTGAGCTGTCACAACCCAGTTGGCCTCTTGCAGCCCCCAAGAGCCAGCGGCTCAGCCTTTCCAGGGCACCCTATTGCACGTCGCCGTGACTATGCTGATTTGCTGGCTCTAAGGACTTGCTTTTGCTGGCTCGCAGATACCCCAAATCCAACAGATGCTGAGCCATGTTACCTCAGGTTCATTCTTCCTGATCATCTCCTAGGAAGAATGACCTTTCAGTGCCCTCAAGAAGGCTATACCTCTAGATGGGAAGTTTCCCTAGTGCTGAGAGTTGGGGTCTTCTGGCAGTTGGGGAGTTTACTGCCAGGGTCCCAGGGGATGCCCTCAGTCCTGCCCCATCAGTGACCTGAAGTGTACTGTTTACAGCCTTAGAGGTCTCTGTGAATGGCAGGACTTCTCCATTCGCTGAGAAAATAGGGTATTTTTCCACTGCCTTGCACCCTGTCCCTGCAGACTTCAGGGAACTAAATGCAACCCTGAAATCTCCAAAAAGCTGTCAGTCACTGAGACTGGTCCAGAAGGCAGTGTGTGGTAGCCTGCTGGGAGCTGTCTTAGTGGTCCTCTGTGAGCCACCCCAGCAAGATCTGGATGCTCATCCTATAGGCTTGTTTGGTAGAAGCAAAGAGGCCCAACCCTAATCTGACCCTGCAATAAAACGCTTCCATCAGTCCTCAAACAGGCTAGCCCTCCAGTAGCCAAGCCATTGCCGCTTCCCAACGCTGACTGTAGTCACCTGCCATCGGCATCTCCTTAGCCGAAGCCCCTTTTCAGCCACCTCTTTCTCTGCCAACTTCCAGATCTTGTCCACTTTGATGTCCCCTCCATCCACGTAGAGCTCGGGTCGACACTCCGCCTGAGTCCCCTGGAACATGTGCGGCGACACTCGGTGACTGAGAAGAGGGACTCGGAGGAGGAGTCTGAGAGCACTGCCCTCTGACATGTGTGTACATACATGAGCCGAGACTGACACACCACCAGGAGCGCCCTTGGGCCTGCCAAGCATTTTCTGTTGGCTCTTTGCTGTCACTGCCAACACGAGGCTGGAGTTTTACAGAAAACTGTCATCTCTGGCACGTGTGGCAAATGTTGGTGGTGCAGATTTTGTTTGTTCCCTTTGGGTGGTAACTTTGGCCTTTTGTTTGATCTTTGCCTTTTGACTTTGTGCCTATTTTGATCCACTTTTAGCCTCCATGCCAAGCAACAGCCCTCTCCGCCCAAGGGCTTGCCTGTCAGAAACGTCCTCTGCAGGGTGGTAGTGTGAAGGAGAGTCAAGTTGCCTGGTTAGAACTGGAGCTGCCCACTGTAATGACAGCGAACGTCAAGTTCTTGCAGTATCAGCTTAGTGGCTACAGAGGGAAATGGGATGGCAGGGAGCCCTTCAGTTACGGTGGACTAGATCCTGGGCACTGACCTGCCTACTGCACAGGGGAGGGCCAGCCTCTGTAAAAACCTTTAAGGCTGTCCTTAATCCATGGTCTCTAAAGTAAATATCTTAAAACAAAATTTCACTTCCTAAGTTTTATTTTTCCACACTGTATGACTGAAAGCTCCCATTCCTACCTTATTATTTTATACTTCTGAATTCAAAAACTGACCTTGAGGGTATCCAGAGGGCACAAAGCTAGCTTCCTATGTCCCCAAAAAACATCAGCTCTCTGACAGTAATTCCATCCCTCCAGGCTCTCAGTGATACCCAGCTCATGAGATACGTGGGGTCCAGTTATGTGCCTCGCTTCTGGACGTCACAGGTGAATAGCAATAACTTTGTTACCCAGAGCACGTAGAGGAAAGTGAAACTGGCCCTTGGAGACTTCAGGCCCGAGCCGTGGACCCTGTGGTGTGGCGAGCTTCGCTCACCAACATCAGGCACTCGTCCTTTCTCATGACCATCCATTCTCGGGGAGGAGGGCCGGGAGGGCACTGGGGAGCCTAGTCACACTTTGGGATTGAGGGAGTGAGGAACAGATTTGGGTCATGCATGCAAAGTCACACTTTAAAATTTTATCCTTTTAAAATAGATATGATAGACCTATACATGATATAATATTTGTATATATGAAATCTATATTTGTTTAATTTGAGCCATTCAATCTAAACCAATGTACAGGTGTACAATGAGAAATTTAAATGCTTATTTTTCCCAACACGGTGTAAAATAACCCTTCTCAAACAGTGGGATTTGCCAACTTTTGATGCTAACAGCTTTGCTCACTTCCTGGCAAGGGCAGTTCAGTACCCAATTTGTAATGGAGCCCAGGGGTTGAAAGTACCTTTAAATACATGTACAAATAGTTGTCAAAAGTAATCTTATTAAAATAGATTTATTATCCCTGAGTGTGGCCTATTGTCTTGTTTTAATAAGAAACTTGTGGGGACACAGGTCTCAATGTCAGGTGCTGCCTCAGGAGGAAGCCTGAGGGCACTGCTAGGCAAGGCCAAGTCCTCAGTCTATGTCTCATCAGCTGAGTTTTTGAAGTATTTCTATATACTCTTGTGTAGAAAGAATATACAAATAAATACTAGATTTATCTTTAAAACTTCTCTCAATTTTCAAGCACTAACCTCAGCGTTGTTAAATCTCATAAGGAGGGCAAGGAAGCCAACTCAACATGCTACTTCCCAATACTCCGAAGGGCACAGTGAGTGATTCTTGTTCTCATTACTGCCAAGTAACAAATCTGTTGTCCCCAGAACAGGAAGGGTGCATTTTCCTGAGCCACCACATGGGCTCAGCCAGCTCTACGAGTACATGAAACCAGGCTGCTGTTGTCGGCCAGCACAACTTGGCTTCTGCCAAAAAACTAGGCTACTGAGGGATGGTGACTCCATGGGGATAGGCTCCAAAGGTCTTTGCTGCCATCAGAGCTGGCTTCCGAGGCACATTGGGTATCTGGCAGCAGCGTGACACTGCACAGGGAGACAGACTCCTGCTTGGAGGTGGCACCAGGATGAAGCGAAGCACAAGTTCCAAATGGAATCTTTATTGTGTTCTGTGTCTTTGGAAATACTATTCTTTGAGTCTTGGCTATTTAGACTTCACATCCACAACCAGTGTTTCCTGTGACATGGCTTGTCTCTGGCATGCAGAGGGAATAACTTGGCTGAAGCAGGCATGGGTGCACCATTTTACCATGTAACTTCTTTAAAAATCAACTGACACTAAAATCCAGTTGTTCCTACTTTGTTTCTTTCAGCAGCTTCCTGTCTGCGGCTTTGCCAGGCACCATTTGTAGGCGGCGTCTAGCAGGCCAGTCTTTATCTGGGAGCCCAAGCCAAGGCCCCGCCTGAGCACTTCCCCACTGAATGGTGCCCTCTGGCTCCCGCCAGGCAAAGGGCGCGCACACGATGCCCGTGCGTGGGGTGGAGGACGTGAGCCTTCTGAGTTCAGGGTCATTCCTGGACTTTCACTTTGCCCTGACCTTCTTGCTCTGTGGGCTCTGAGGATCCTCTGCATGGGTCCGTTTCTTCTGGGGCTCACTGTCCTCAGGGCCGCCCGCCTGTCCGCTGGAGAGGAGGGCCGCCCGCACTAGCCGCAGCTCTCTCTTCTCCCTGCGCTCCTCCATCTCCTCGATGTCGCCAGCAAACAGGGCTTTCAGTGGGGCAGTCAGCTTGGGCACTGTGGGGAAGTCATTGAAGCAGACCTACAAGGCAAGACGGAGGATGAAGACACACCTCAGAGGGGGCTGGGTTGGGGGCAGGAGCTGAAGGAAAGCATGTGCTTTACAAACCCATAGAGTTAACAGGCCATAGCTGGAAAAAGCAAAAAAAAAAAAAAAAAGAAAAAAAAGGCCATGGAGAGGTAGGGAACGCTAAAGAAAGGGGCACACACTCCCCACAGCTAAGGGCAGGAAAGCTGAAAAGGCCTCAGAAAGGCAAAGCTTCTAGACTCTGAAAAGCAAGTTCCTTATAAATAAACCCCAGCCCATGCCCTGCCCTTTATTCTGGAAGGCAGAGGGGCAAGGCACACTTTGCCACTCATGAGAGGACAACCCTGTCTCCAGGCTGTCATGAGGCTCAAATGATGTGACAGTGGGACTAGACTGAGCCTCAGAGAGGGTCTCTAATTTTCCAGTGACCTGATGCTGACGTCTGTCTAGAGGGCCTTGCAGAATGTGGGCTCCCCTTCAAACCCAGTGCTGGTTGTGACAAGGTGATGGACAGATATCCTCTCACCATGGCCCTGAGCTAGACTCCTTCGTGTGGGTGCAGCGCTATCTCTGCCTTGGCCCCACCCCACACAGCCCACACCATACACACACCTTCATGTGGTCAAAGGCAATTCCAACTTTCTCGTTGAAGTCGGGACTGAAGAGCGGGATCTTGGCATAGCGCTGGCTGAAGTGGTTCAGCATGATGAACTCTGCATTCATCCGCATCCCCACGCCAATTGCCTGGGAGGTGGTGCTGCAAAATCAAAGCCAGGTTGCACCTCCACCAAAGGGCAGATTCCAAGGAAGAGCGACACAGGCCCTGCCCCAGCCCCCACCTCCCCTGGCAGTTCCCTGCTGCGGATCACAGTTGATGCCACCATATTTCCAATTTTTTCAAAAACTGTGCTTCCCCCCCCCGAACTTTGCCTAGACAACTCTACAGAAATAAAGGCAAAAGAGCCCAGAAGCAAACTGCTGCTCCTAGCTAGAAGCCCCCACAGCCCTCTGATGGGAAGCAGGCTGGCCTCACATCACTAAAGGGCACAGTCTTTCCCAGCAGGGCTGATGCGAGGCTGCTCAGCTCGTCACCTAGGGGAGGTAGAGGGAGTGGGTGATGATGGCTCGACATTCTCAGCTACCTGTGTGTCTTTTCCACGGCTTCTTCTTCCAGACCATCTTCCAGAGTGGCCTCATGTATCAGGAGGGTGGCG